CCCCACCCCCTACACCCTCCCCAACCCCGCGGCACCCATCCAGAATGAACAAGCCCTTGATAGACAGGTGCCGCGCAGGCCCCCTGCGGACGGGGGCACCCGACCAGGGGGAGGGGGCGGGGAGGGGCCCAGCGCGACCTCCGCCCCTCGCTCCCCTCCCCCCTCCCAGACCCTCCCACAAGGTTCCCCGCAGATCCCTGACGTGGTGAGGGGAGGGGGCTGCAAGCACCCTCCCCCCATGTACGGAGCGGCCCCCACTTTGGGGGTAGGTGGCAGCAGAGGGGAATGGGCTTGGGGAAGGAGGGGAAGCTCCCTTCTTTGGCAGCTGAACATAGGGGGACCTGAGGGCAGTGCCCTCCCCCCTTTACCCACAGTAGGGGAGGGGGCTTTCTGGGGGTAGGGGTGGCTTAAAATTCCCAAGCCCCAGGAATAAAGGGGGGGAGGTCGTGCGGGAAGGAGCAGCCATGCTGGAGAGAGGAATCTGTGAGACAAGAAGGTTGGAGGGAGAAGGGGCTCTTCGTGCAAAACCATGGACAGGCTGGCCCAGGAAGGACAGACAGCGGAGGGAGGACGGCCAGGATGGGCAGGGAGAGGCAGGCAGCCGTGGAAGCATGGCGAGCGAGGGCGGGTGTGCTAGGGAAGCGTGCAAGGAGCCAAAGCACAGGTGTGAGCTCGGCTGCTACAGCTGTTTCTTCATAGGAGCGAAACAAAACAGCGAAGGTGCCAGAATGATGATCCAGGAATGATGATACGGTGAGCTCGTGTGGCGTGAAACAGGGGAGGCGCGGGAAAATTCCCCAGGCGAGGTGGGAGAAGCTGCCCTGCCCCGGCTAAGTAGAAACCCAAGGACAGGTGTGCAGCACGGCCCAGGTGTGCAAGCGCCTTGTGGAGGGAAAGGAAATGGCCCCAGGAGAGCAGGGGAGGTGCTGGGAGGCGGTGTGCGTGCGCAAGGAGACAGTCGGAATGGAGATGGACAAAGATTTGGAGGAAGGTGGGGTGCAGGGAGCAGGCTCCGGCAGAGAGGAAAGGGAGGGCGTGGGAGCGGACGTTCCTGGGGAGCAGCAGGCGTGCTAGGCCAGCGGAGCGCAGAGTGGGCGTGTCACAGTGAGAGGGCGGGAGCAGCAGCTGGGGTCCAACCACAAGCAGGATGCATGAGGCGGGTCAGGCTGTCCGGAGAGGCGGAGAGCGAGTGTGGCCAAGGGGTTTCCAGAGCATAAACACGTGTGCAGAGGCTGTGAGGGGTGAGGGAAAGGGCGTCCCAAGTGTGTCTGCAGCAAGGGTCCCGAGATTTTCCCGAGTGAGGTGTGGGGGGGTGGGCCAGGGGAGAGAGACGACGTGAAGTCTGGAGAGCAGGGGTGGCGCGGGGCGTGGGAAAGCCAAGCCGTGTGTGCAGTGAGCGAGTGCTGGAGGGCCTCGAGGGCCTAGCTGGAGCCAAGGCGAGTGTGCAACAGCGAGGGGCAGATCTGTGCAAAATTGTAGCCCAGGGAGGGGAGCGGCGAGCAGGCGTGCAAAGGAGCGTGCAGGCGGCCAGGGGGCTGCTGTGTGTGCAGGGGAGCAGGGGGCCGGGAGAGGGGGGAAGGGCGGTGAGAGCAGGTGGTGGAATCTGAGGGCACCCCTTTTCCTGCGGCCTGGGGGGCGACCCCCGTCCCGTCAGGCTCAGGGCTGACCCTCTATGGCTCTGTCTGTCCCCCCCTCCCAGAATCGACCCTTCCCTCCTTCCCCATGGCCCTGCGTGACTTCTTCCGTCCTCCCCCTCCGCTCCCCACTTCACACACAGTCTTGAGTCAGCTGCCCCCTCCTGTGAGGTGCAAATGTCCGGTGGGGATCTGGCCACCTGGTGACCCCCCGGCCTCGGCAGACGCGAGTTTGAGCAGAGTCCCCGGCCGGGAGAGAATGACTGTCAGGGTCAGAGGTCAGGAGGCCAGCAGGCTCGAGGCTTCTGTGGACGGCTGGTCCGTCCAGGCCAGCCATCACCTCTCCAGGAAAAATTTGAGAGCCCGGTCGATGTTCATGCGGTGGCCCACCCTGGTCACGCCCAGATCCACGTAGTCCTCCTTGGTCAAGGCCGGCAAGTGGGAGCCGTCAATCTCGTGGTCCAGGAACTGGGCCCGGTGCTCAGCCAAGCCCAGCCACTCCAGCCAATCGGCCACGTCGAACTTGGTCCAGAACCCCAGAGGCTTAGCGCCAAAGGGCTTGTCTGGGGGCAGCGAAAGCAGGCGGGTCGGCGACAGGGAGCGGGAGGCCCCCGACAAGGCTCCACCGAGCCCCCCGGAAATCCCAGGGTGCGGCGGCACGAAGACTGGAGCGAAGGGATCCGCAGAGCCGCCGGCCCCTCCGGTGGGGGAGCCGCGGATGTCAAAGAGCCCCGGGTAGAGGGGTCCAGAAGGCAGGATGGGCAGGGACGAGGGCCGGGGCGCCGGGCTGACCTTGTGCTCCGAGGCGGGCAGCAGGGAGGGGCTGGGGGCCCTGCGCAGCAGGGGCGGTCGCATCTCCAACTCCACACCCTGGAGGTGGCGGGTGGAGGAGCCGCCCGAGGGCGAGGTGGCCCCCCCGGCCGCAGCAGCTGAAGGGGGGACCCCGGTTCCCGTGGGGAGCGGCGGCAGAGGTGGTTTGGACCAGTTCTGAAACAGGCTGCTGACGGGTTTGGAGAGGAGGGAGTCGTCGCTGAGTCTGGAAGGTGACAAGCGGGTGGGGTAAGGGGTGCAGGAGCGGACCGACGGGGAGGGTGGGGGAGAAAGAGGCAGCAGTCAGGGTGCAGGGGCGAGGGAGAGACGCGGGGCAGGGCGGAGAGGTTGGGGAGGGATGGGCGGGCAGGACGGATGGCAGGACAGAGATGGAGGGAGAGAAAGACCAGAGGACAGGGAGGGCCACAGTCAAGAGAGACGGAAGAGAAAGAGACATTAAGAGAGAGCAATCGCCACCGCCGCTTGCTGATGCCCGCGTGTGCCAGGCACGGCTCTAGGGGCTTTACGCAGCGCCTCGCCAGAGTCCCCACGGCAGCCCTGAGGGAGGTGACTCGCATCGCCAGCACAGAGAGGCTAGGTAACTTGCCTAAGGACACACAGCCGAAGTGGCAGAGCCCGCTTACACGGCACCAAAGTCTGAGCTCTTAACCACTACTCTGTACCGCCTTTCGTTAGGACCAGGCACAGCAGAGTGGAGGACAGGGAGACGGTGAGCGAGGAACAAAAACGGTGAGAGTTCAGGGGGGAGAGATGGGAGGGGGCGGGGCGGAGGAGGGGGAGAGAGATGAGGAGAGGGAGATGAAGGAGAAGAAACGAGGGGAGGAAAAGGCTCCCCTCATCCCTTTGGCTCCCTGCAGCTTGGTCCTGCTCGGGCCTGGGAACTGCCGCCCGCCTGGCCTGCTCACCCGCCCCACGGACTGCTCGAGGGCCGCCAAGGCCCTCGCCCACCCCTTGAGAGGGTGTCTAACCCCCTCCGCTGCCCGTTGCTGTCCGTGTCCAGGACGACGGCCTCCCCCACCCCCACCAGCTCCCTGGACTGGGCTGAGGGTCCGGCCTCGCCTGTCCTGTGCTCTGTGGCCACCCAGGACGCAGCAGGTGTCTCGCTGTGACTGTCCCGCACCCAGCAGGGGCAGGAGCCGCTTCGAGGGTCTCCACCCTAGTAAGCCCCACACAGGCGCCCCCCCTGAGGGTCTCGGACCCTCCCACAGCACAGGCCGGGCCCTCCAGCCCCGGGTGGGGAGGCTGTCCCGCCCAGGCCCGGTGGCCCCCAGGCCCTCGTCACCGCCCCATGCCACCCACCGAATCGCTCAGTGGCCCTTCTCAGAAGCCACCCTGGTCGGCTAGCGATGTGCGACCTGAGCCACCTCTGCAGCTGGACAAGGGGGTCCAAAGTCCTCTCCCCACTCTGGGCCAGCGTCAGGGGGGTGACGACTCTCCCCGAGCGAGACTCAAATGTGTCAGATGAGTTCAAACTCTGCGGCCACCCCTGCCCGCGGTAGCTTTGGCAAACTTGCACAGCTCCCCGTATTTCCCCAGCCAGGCTCACTGCGCCAGGGGGGCCCCTCCCCACCCCCACCTCACCTCACAGGACAGCAGCCTCAGAGCCCATCTTGGGCGGGTACCACCTCCTACAAGAGGTGGCTCCTTGGCCTGAGGTCTCCGAGTAGGAGGTGCAGGGCTAGGACCACACTCACCACCTCTGCACCCCTAAGGCAGCTTGCCTCGAGCCCCCGGGGCTCAGGGGCTCCCGCACTTCAGGGACTGTCAGAACTGACAGCCAGCCAGCGTGCGCTCCAGTCTCCGCTAGTCTGAAAGCGGCCTGGGGTGTGGGTTGCCATGGTGACGGGAGACCGAGAGCCACTGGGAGGGCGGGAAGTTTAAAGCATCTGCGGAAGCATGCTTCTTTGGGGTGAACTCCTGCCACCTGGGGGCCACCCCCAGGACGCTGCAGAGCCACCGCTCCGGGAAGGGGACTCTGGTCCCACAGCACAGGCCCTCCGGCCGCTGCCCGCCACCAGCCCCTGCTCACCTCTGCCGCTGGAGGGAGGAGGTCCTCTCGGGGACGTAGCTGGCTCCCCCGTGGTGGCCGTCCCCGCTTCCCCCGCTGCCTCCCCGGGCCCAGGGCAAAGCGCCCCCAGCTGCCGAGGAGCCCCCAAACTGCTGGAGCTTGGAGCTGAGTTCACTGATGATGCTGGCTTTTACGGTGGCCAAGGCTGAGGCCTGAGGCTGGGCCAGGGGCCCGGGCAGGGGTGGTGGCGGCGGGCCCGGGCCCTCCTCCCAGGGCAGCAGCTTCCGAGGCAGGGAGG